ACAGGTATCTGATGGTGCTCTCTCTTGTACTGGTCCTACAGGTCTCTGATGGTGCTCTTGTACTGGTCCTACAGGTCTCTGATGGTGCTCTTGTACTGGTGTTTGTAAATGTGGTGTCTGTGTGAACCATGTGAGACAATAAACCAGAATTGTATCTTATAAACTTTAAGACTGATCTGATGTTATTGAACGTACTTGATAAGACACAGAACTAAACCATCTGTCGTCCCAGAGGAGCTGAGCTGAAGTATTTGAATACCACGCCCAAAGTATGTGAATACCACGCCCAAAGTATTTGAATACCACTCCCAAAGTATTTGAATACTGCACGAGAGGGAACAGGACAAGGATTGTTAGGGTTAGACAGCAATTTGACCTACGGAGAACTGCAAGACTCTACAAGGACTCTTCTGATGGTGCATCTATGTTTGACTATGATACACTCGTGACTGTCTCTGTGTGACACGTCTTTCCATGTGTGACGTGACAATGACTATATAAACTATGTACTGACTCCATTCTGTCTGAGAGAAAGAAACAATTGAAACAACTGGAACTTGAGAGAAACTTAAATAAACTTCCAGAGTTTGGCGCACCACGATCCGTCTCTGTCTGCTTCATTCCTGACAGGATCATTAGAGACTCTGAGGCAGAAGCAGATGTTCTCATTTAACTGGACATCTTCACGGAGCGGCTGTCTCTGAGCTGTCCTGGTCCAGTCCTGGTCCAGTCCTGGTCCAGGTGGTGCTGTGGCCCAGTGTGTAGAGGCAGGTGTGGTCCCTCAGAGGAACACACAGGTTTTTGAAAACTCCCTCAGATTGCAGAGTGTTGCCTCGTAGATTGTTCAGGCACTCGGAGACTCTTGAAACCGTTTGTGTTCATCGAGGAGTTAACATCCACCTGGTTTGGTTTGTGGACAGAAGTTGGACCTACCCAAATGTCTTTACGTTTTTATTTATTCATCAAGTATTTGTTTATTTGATCGGGACAGAACAAGAATCATTGTTATAAATAACCAATGCCATGTTCATAGACCATATAGCCAACAGTTAATTCTCAGACCTGGTCCTAAGACATAAAAATACATCCCATTTACAGCTCAACAGAAAAACACAGATTACACATTACACAATATTCACAATGGATTATTCGAGTCTTGCACTGCTCACAAGTTTGGTTTCTTGTTTAACTTTAATGACAAGGAAAAACATTCAGTTTATTTGTGTATAGCCTTACTTACTTAGTTTATGTAAATTAAATGATTTGGTTGTTTTCCTGAGAGTGTAGGCTCTCTGATGGGGGCCACTGACTTTCATTCATTTAACCAGGACCTGCAGGTGTCACTGGTGCGAGGAGGGTCATTACCATATCAGAAATCCATCATGAGACCAAATATCACAGAATATTGTAATATCTCTGAGTTATAGTTGTTCTTGTGTTTGATAAAAGGGAAGTGCAGTTAAGACTTTAGGCTTGGGGTAAGTGCAATAAAATACTGCACTTTGGGTTTAGTGAATTATGGGAAGACTGTGGGTTGCTCTGTTTTGATGTTCTGGTATCACCTGTTTCTCTCTGGTCCTACAGGTGTCTGATGGTGCTCTTGTACTGGTCCTACAGGTCTCTGATGTTGCTCTTGTACTGGTCCTACAGGTCTCTGATGGTGCTCTTGTACTGGTCCTACAGGTCTCTGATGGTGCTCTTGTACTGGTCCTACAGGTCTCTGATGGTGCTCTTGTACTGGTCCTACAGGTCTCTGATGGTGCTCTTGTACTGGTCCTACAGGTCTCTGATGGTGCTCTTGTACTGGTCCTACAGGTCTCTGATGGTGCTCTTGTACTGGTCCTACAGGTCTCTGATGGTGCTCTTGTACTGGTGTTTGTAAATGTGGTGTCTGTGTGAACCATGAGAGGCAATAGAGCAGAATCGTATCTTATAAACTTTTAGACTGATCAGATGTTATTAAACTTGATTAGACACAGCATTAAACCATCTATTGTCACAGAGGAAGTTGGCTGAAGTCACTCTATTCTGAGAGATGTGTGCAGGTATTTGAATACTACGCCCAAAGTATTTGAATACTGCACGAAAGGGAACAGGATGAGGATCATTAGAGACTTTGAGGCAGAAGCAGATGTACTGACCTGTGACATTTGTCTGGACGTCTTCACAGAGCCTCTGTCTCTGAGCTGTCACCACAGATTCTGCAGGAGGTGTTTCCAGGAGCACTGGGCCCAGGAGCAGAGCGGTCTGAAAGAAGAGGTCTTCTACAGATTATACAGGTTTGCGTGGGGACCATGGGGACATGTCCCCACCAATATTTGGTGAGGACTAAAAAGTCCCCACCAAAATGACATGATGTCCCGTGACCCGGACGGTCCGGGACACATGTCTTCCGTTTGTGCACACGTCGCGCCTCCTCCTCGCCTCCAGAGCAACAGCAGCAGCAGCAGCACGTGACCCGTTCCGTTCTCTGCAGTGATTGGCTGTCTTCTTCAGCGCCAAACTGAAGCACTGAGCAACTGTTTAATTTTTAAAAGTTAGCCAGCGTGAAGCAAGTGTTTTTTTTCGTTCCCTGAGCGTTGTAGCACGTGAGTAATCAGAGGAAAGTACTGTAGATCTATTACCATTCAAAGTACTTACGTTATTTCTAATCTGTCAGCGCACTGTTTAATGTTCCGAGGAGCTCACACGGCACAGAGACAGAACAGAACTGGCTCCAATAAAGAAACAGGTTGGTTGAAAGGCTGAAAAAATACTTATTGTGCTCTTACTATCCAAAATGTATAAGTGGGTGTGTTGTGTGAATCAGGATAAACTAGGGATGAAAATATTCCACGGATCCACGATTTACAACCTTTATCTGCTGATAATGTGATTTCTGTGAAATGTGTGACAGCGGGCACTTGCTGCTATTTGCTCTAAGCACATTCAAGAGATGCACTCGAATGTGCACGTCCTGGTGCAGCTGCTGCCGCTTTGTAATGACAGCCGCGGCGCTCAGTGAAAGCACAGCTCTAACATGGTACCGAGCTCGGACCATATGCAGACAGAACCATGTTGCAAGTGCGGGTCTCCCTCGTATCTCACGCGTTTCTCCCCTGTGTCTCTGACATGTCTCTCCCCTGACTCTTCCCAAAGCGCAACCAGCGCTCCCGAAATTAAAGCTCGGATACCTAAATTTTCCATTGCGTTAACAATGCATGCTGGTTGTGCGCAAAACACACCACAACAGGTCATTTAAGTTTTTATTTTGCATACTTGAGAGCCCTGTGAGTCATTACTTGCCTTTTTGGGTTGAGAGTGGAATAAAAAAAAGAAAATATAGAAAAATCGACACTGTTACTTATTGCCAAACTCTTGTTAACTCATTGTATTGAGAAATACTATGTAACTTTTGACATTGGCCAAGTTATATAAATGATTCTGCAGTTCATGTATATGAATGTCTGTTTTTGATTGTCTATACCTTCTTATATAATTTAGAAAAAATGCCACCTCCACAAAAAAAGATAAAAGATATCAGGAGCTTTTTTAACAGTTGGAAAGTAAGTAAGAGAAAGCACAAGTAATAGCAAATTATGAATTGTGATGATTAATCTTCTGTTAACATACATAGGAAACTCAACCACCAAGAGAGAACAATATAGGGAATGTTGAGGTAGAAGCAACAGGCCCTTCAGTGCATCAGGCGAGGTTGGAATTTTGTAGGTATGCATGGGACTATGAATTGTTTTTAGAGATTGATCGTATATGTCAAACAATGTAGTGAGCTACTCACTGTAGATTCTAATTCAATATTTTCTCCTCTGTTTTTATTTATTATAGGAAATAGATCAGAGCATGATTTATTTCAAGTATCGAGAGCAGTTCCTGAACTGTTAGAGCCTCAGGTGAGGGCTATTATGTAGATTTGGATTAGGTTTAAGTCAGTATAGAATCATACTAAAGTTAAAGAACATCATTTGGTTGGAAATTACCTATGCCAATTACAACATATTTTACTACTATAATGATGCAAAAAGTGTTGTCTGAAATCTTTTACTAAATATAGGACACACTGAGAGATATAATGGAAATTCAAGAAGGAGATAAAGACAAGGACAAGACAGGACTCCAGGTGAGGTTAGGATTAAGCAGTTAAAATCTTAGACCCATCAACCAATTCTAGTTTCATGAGATATTTAGCGACTGGTGTACCATGCCTAGGTTTCATTTTATTCAATGTAGAATGTGTGTTTTTATTAATACCATAAAGGAAAGTCAGACAAACAGGGAATGTGCAGTGCTGGTAGAGGATGAGGAAGTGGCTGGACCTTCAGGGCTCTTCAGGTGAGGTTGAAAGTATTTATTTGGTTTTGTTGGTGGTTTTATTTTGTATATGATTAGATCTGATTTGTTTAATGTACTACATGTGTTTTATTTATTATAGGGAACTCAGGTATTCAGGGAAGATGTAGTGCAGGCAGATATCGAAGCTGGGCTTCAGGTGAGGCTGGAATTATGAAGATAAAATATGGGATTTTTTAAAGTTTCATAACAGTGTATTTGCTATTTAGGAGGCAGCCAATGAGAGTCACTCTCAAGAAAGTGCCAGGGACAGCATATTTGAGATAGGTTGTAAACCATATCAGCCTGATCCTGAATACAGGATATATTTACTATCTTATTTACTATAAACATTTAAGCCATCTTGTGGACAAAGTTAGAATGAACGCAACACAAAACTCAGAAGCTCTGATCCAATTGATTTTGTTTTAACTATTATAAAAAATCCTTAACTGCTTCTCATTCAGTCTACAGCTGAGTTTAGTATAGAAGGCAACACACTATTGCAAATATAGTGTGTGATTACACAACAAATTCTGGGGGAGACCCCGTGTCAATGGGTGTAGACTCAGGTCGTAGTGAATGTCCCCACCAAGATTGGAACCAAACCTACACCATTGTATACAGGAGTGGACTTTTCTTTCAAACAAATGAGCTACGCACTCAGGCTAAAAATGGGGAAACCAGACACTTCAGAGGAGCAGGAGGACCAGGCCTCATCAGAGACTGAGGAGAAGACAGAGGAGGGTGCTACAGGAAAGACAAATAAGAGGAAAGTGAAAGGTCCTACAGCAAAGACAAAGAAGATAAAGGAGGAGAATCCTACTGCGCAGGCTGGGGAGGGTCCTACAGGCCTCCCTCAGCGGTCATGGTGCCTGGTCCACCCTCAGGTGCCTCCTCTCTTCTGTCAGGACGATAGGCAGTGCTTCTGTATGGTCTGTGATCTCTCTGTCCACAAATCTCACACGATGCTGAGTGAAGAGGAGGCAGAGAAGAGGCTAAGGCTCCTCTGCAATCCAGAACCAGTGTGAGGAACAGGCTCAGCACTGTGAGCGTCAGATTAATGCTGTGTTTAACAGGATGCGGCGCCACCTGCAGGAGGAGGAGGACACTGCACTGACAGCTCTCAGACAGGAGCAGGAGAGACAGAGTCACCTCCTCACGTCCCAGAGGACATCACTCACGAAGAAACTGTCTCCTGTGAACGACAGAATCCAACAGCTGGAGAAACTTCAGCAGACACCGACACGGGACTTTCTCCTGATGCTCAGACCTCGAGCTGGTCCCTCTGGATTTCCTCCACCCACAGGACAGATGCAGGACCAGGCCGTAGCTCCTCTCCCCACAGGACTGATGGTGGACCAGACCATAGCTCCTCTCCCCACAGGACTGATGGTGGACCAGACCAAAGTGCTAGGGAACCTGGACTTCCGAGTCTGGAGGAGATTGAAGCTTGCAGTGCAGAACAAGCCCTTTTTCCTGGACCCAAACACAGCAAACCCATGGCTTCGTCTCTCTGAGGACCTCAGTGGAGTGACATATGGAGACACTTATCAGCACCAGCTTCCTGAGATTCCAGAGAGGTTCAGTAAGTACCCCATGGTCCTGGGCTCTGTCGGCTTCAGCTCGGGGACACACCAGTGGGACGTGAAGGTGGGAGATCATCCAGACTGGGTCATCGGAGTCGCAAAAGAGTCGGTGGACAGGAAAGGAGAAATAAGTGTTTCACCTGAAAATGGAATCTGGTGTTTATTTCACAGAGATGGTAAATACACAAACGGCTCTGGTGAACTTCTAACAGTGAAGAAGAGTCCAGAGAAGATCAGGGTCAGACTGGACTATGGCAGAGGAACTGTGTCCTTCTACGACACTGACCCCATGACCCTCCTGTACACACACACACACACCTTCACAGAGAAGATGTTTCCTTACTTTAGCATCGTAAAAAGTGAAGAAGCACAAACCAAAGAGATCCGCATCAGTGAGACTCCATATGAAGGGTGATGACAAAGAGGACCAGAGTGTCTCAGTGTGGGACAGATTCATGTCTCTGTGGGAGATAGAATATCCAAAATATTTAAAGTAGTGCTGTCCAAAATATTGCGTTTTTAGCACGTTAACGGTTTGTGTTTTGTCCGGTCTGGCTGCTAGCTCACTGTGAAAGAGAGAGAGTTTAGTTTGTCAAGCTTAAATTTATTTTGCATCAATTGTGCGTGTGAAATATAACACGTTTTCAATAAAAAAGATGTTTTCACTGTAAGCCTTTTCCACATCAATAAGAGCATTACAATAATAATTCAAGGGACATAAAGAAAATATACAAATGTAAAGACATTTGCATTTAATTGCATAAAATTAGTTCACCTTGGAGAGACCCACGAGGGAAAATACAGTTAGAAGTTTAGGATTGAGCATGTTTGGTGCCCTAGGCCCGGGAGAGATGCTGTTGAGCACGGCGTTTGCTCGCGCGCATAATCCCCCCCGGGGCCTAGGCACTGGTGACGGCAGAGGCAGTAGGCAAGCACGCTTCAATGAGAGAAGGAGGAGGTGGGGCGGCGGAGGCTTGCAGACTTCAGAAGGCCGGGAAGTGGGCATCTCCGGCTTTTAACTTGCTGTCCTGGTGGTTATTGGTTGATTAGATGTGGGCGTTTTGCTGGTGTAATGAGTAGAGGATGAGCAGGCTTGTAGATCTGGGCAAGCAGCGGCCGGGTCTACCACAGTGAACTTTCGCGAAAGCTCCATCTTTCCATGTAAATATGAAAAACTGTGAAGCTCAATCAAGAGAGAGAGATCAGAGAGAGATCAGAGAGAGACCAGAGAGAGATCAGGGAGAGAGAGAGAGAGACCAGAGAGAGAGACCAGAGAGAGAGACCAGAGAGAGAGACCAGAGAGAGACCAGAGAGAGACCAGAGAGAGACCAGAGAGAGACCAGAGAGAGATCAGAGAGAGAGAGAGAGAGACCAGAGAGAGACCAGAGAGAGATCAGAGAGAGAGAGAGAGAGACCAGAGAGAGAGACCAGAGAGAGACCAGAGAGAGACCAGAGAGAGAGAGAGAGAGAGAGAGAGAGACCAGAGAGAGAGACCAGAGAGAGATCAGAGAGAGACCAGAGAGAGGGACCAGGGAGAGAGACCAGAGAGAGACCAGAGAGAGACTAGACTTTTTCCTATATATTTTCTTTTTATGTTTTTGATGTTTTTAGTGGTATGTAGTACTTTGTTTATTGTGTGCATAGTGTAATGGGGTGTAATGGTGTAATAAGTTTATGGACTTTATCATAAGTTTTGGACATTGGTCTCGGCCCTTTATGGATCGATGTGTGTTTTTATCACTGCATTTCACACATATCTGTGTTGGTAAGTTCAACGGTTTGGTAACGTCCTCTTTAATAACTACTGTTGTGATTTAGAGCAATAAAAATCACATTGAAAGAGTGTAATAACTGGGGTATGTGACTTTAAAGCTGGGGTATGTGACTTTAAAGCTGGGGTATGTGACTTTAAAGCTGGGGTACGTGACTTTAAAGCTGGGGTCTGTGACTTTAAAGCTGGGGTATGTAACTTTAAAGCTGTGACTTTAAAGCTGGGGTCTGTGACTTTAAAGCTGGGGTATGTAACTTTAAAGCTGTGACTTTAAAGCTGGGGTATGTGACTTTAAAGCTGGGATCTCTGACTTTAAAGCTCGGGTGTGTAACTTTAAAGCTGGGGTATGTAACTTTAAAGCTGGGGTCTGTGACTTTAAAGCTGGGGTATGTGACTTTAAAGCTGGGGTCTGTGACTTTAAAGATGGGGTATGTAACTTTAAAGCTGGGGTCTGTGACTTTAAAGATGGGGTCTGTGACTTTAAAGCTGGGGTCTGTGACTTTAAAGCTGGGGTCTGTGACTTTAAAGCTGGGGTATGTGACTTTAAAGCTGGGGTCTGTGACTTTAAAGCTGGGGTCTGTGACTTTAAAGCTGGGGTATGTGACTTTAAAGCTGGGGTCTGTGACTTTAAAGATGGGGTATGTAACTTTAAAGCTGGGGTCTGTGACTTTAAAGATGGGGTCTGTGACTTTAAAGCTGGGGTCTGTGACTTTAAAGCTGGGGTCTGTGACTTTAAAGCTGGGGTATGTGACTTTAAAGCTGGGGTCTGTGACTTTAAAGCTGGGGTATGTGACTTTAAAGCTGGGGTCTGTGACTTTAAAGCTGGGGTCTGTGACTTTAAAGCTGGGGTCTGTGACTTTAAAGCTGGGGTGTGTAACTTTAAAGCTGGGGTCTGTGACTTTAAAGCTGGGGTCTGTAACTTTAAAGCTGGGGTCTGTGACTTTAAAGCTGGGGTCTGTAACTTTAAAGCTGGGGTCTGTGACTTTCGGACCACACCAGTAGAATTCTAATAACCGCACGTCTCTCGCAGCGTTCACACTCGAGACCCGGGTTTGGATTGACTTGAAATGGGTTTTGAATAAATACCATGTGAGGTTCTCAGCTGGTGTCTGCGTCTCTGGTAAAGGACACCTCTTCAGCCGCGGCACCTGGAGCGTCTCCTGCGGCGATTCCCATTAGTGAAAGTCAACACTGCTGACCCTGAGTGTCACTCACACCTAACACAAAACACATCACTTCAAACGCTGCTTCAGAGAGAGACACACAACAACCAGGACCAGGACCAGGACCAAGACCAGGACTAGAACCAGGACCAGGAACAGGACCAGGACCAAGACTAGGAATAGAACCAGGACCAGGACCAGTACTAGGACTAGGACTATAGGACCAAGACCAGGAGCAGGACCAGGACCAGGACCAGGACCGAGACCGGGACCAGGACCAGGACCGAGACCGGGACCAGGACCAGGACCAAGACTAGGACTAGAACCAGGACAATGACCAGGACCAGGACTCATGACCAGGACCAGGACCAGGAAATGTGTGTGTGTTTACTGTTATAGTGTGGTTAAAATGTAAATGTGTGTGTGTGTGCATGAGTATGTGTCTCTGTCTGTGTGTGCGCGTGTGTGTCAGTGTATGTATGTGTGTGTCTGTGTGTGTATGTGTCTTTGTCTGTGTGTGTGTGTGTGAGTGTGTGTGTGTGTGTGTCTATGTATGTATATGTGTGTGTATCCATCTGCGTGTACATGTGTGTGTGTACATGTGTGTGTTTGTGGCTACAATCTGGAGTGATGTGTTCATGAACATGTACTGTCCCAACCAAAAAACAATACATACATTGTGTCTCTGTGTACATGCAAAGCGGAAGTTTAACAAAAGCCACTTCCTGATAAACAGCGCCTCCTGAGGCTCTTAACACCCACCGCCTCCCCAGCACCTCCACCTGCTCCTGCTCTGGCTCCTGCTCTGGCTCCTGCTCTGGCTCCTGCTCTGGCTCCTGCTCTGGCTCCTGCTCTGACTCCTGCTCTTGCTCTTGCTCTGGCTCCTGCTCTGGCTCCTGCTCTTGCTCTTGCTCTGGCTCCTGCTCTGGCTCCTGCTCTGACTCCTGCTCTGGCTCCTGCTCTGGCTCCTGCTCTGGCTCCTGCTCTGACTCCTGCTCTGACTCCTGCTCTGGCTCTTGCTCTGGCTCCTGCTCTGACTCCTGCTCTGGCTCCTGCTCTGACTCCTGCTCTTGCTCTTGCTCTGGCTTCTGCTCTGACTCCTGCTCTGGCTCCTGCTCTGACTCCTGCTCTTGCTCTTGCTCTGGCTCCTGCTCTGACTCCTGCTCTGGCTCCTGCTCTGACTCCTGCTCTTGCTCTGGCTCCTGCTCTGACTCCTGCTCTGACTCCTGCTCTGGCTCTTGCTCTGGCTCCTGCTCTGACTCCTGCTCTGGCTCCTGCTCTGACTCCTGCTCTTGCTCTTGCTCTGGCTTCTGCTCTGACTCCTGCTCTGGCTCCTGCTCTGACTCCTGCTCTTGCTCTTGCTCTGGCTCCTGCTCTGACTCCTGCTCTGGCTCCTGCTCTGACTCCTGCTCTTGCTCTGGCTCCTGCTCTGTCTCCTGCTCTGACTCCTGCTCTGGCTCTTGCTCTGGCTCCTGCTCTGACTCCTGCTCTGGCTCCTGCTCTGACTCCTGCTCTGGCTCTTGCTCTGACTCCTGCTCTGACTCCTGCTCTGGCTCCTGCTCTGGCTCTTGCTCTGGCTCCTGCTCTGACTCCTGCTCTGGCTCTTGCTCTGACTCCTGCTCTGGCTCCTGCTCTGACTTCTGCTCTGGCTCCTGCTCTGGCTCCTGCTCTGACTCCTGCTCTGACTCCTGCTCTGGCTCCTGCTCTGACTCCTGCTCTGGCTCTTGCTCTGACTCCTGCTCTGGCTCCTGCTCTGGCTCCTGCTCTGGCTCTTGCTCTGGCTCCTGCTCTGACTCCTGCTCTGGCTCTTGCTCTGACTCCTGCTCTGGCTCCTGCTCTGGCTCTTGCTCTGGCTCCTGCTCTGACTCCTGCTCTGGCTCTTGCTCTGACTCCTGCTCTGGCTCCTGCTCTGACTTCTGCTCTGGCTCCTGCTCTGGCTCCTGCTCTGACTTCTGCTCTGGCTCCTGCTCTGGCTCCTGCTCTGACTCCTGCTCTGACTCCTGCTCTGACTCCTGCTCTGGCTCTTGCTCTGGCTCTTGCTCTGACTCCTGCTCTGGCTTCTGCTCTGACTCCTGCTCTGGCTCCTGCTCTGACTCCTGCTCTGGCTCCTGCTCTGGCTCTTGCTCTGGCTCCTGCTCTGGCTCCTGCTCTGACTCCTGCTCTGGCTCCTGCTCTGACTCCTGCTCTGGCTCTTGCTCTGGCTCCTGCTCTGGCTCCTGCTCTGACTTCTGCTCTGGCTCCTGCTCTGGCTCCTGCTCTGACTTCTGCTCTGGCTCTTGCTCTGGCTCCTGCTCTGACTCCTGCTCTGTCTCCTGCTCTGGCTCCTGCTCTGGCTCTTGCTCTGGCTCCTGCTCTGGCTCCTGCTCTGACTCCTGCTCTGGCTCCTGCTCTGACTCCTGCTCTGGCTCCTGCTCTGGCTCCTGCTCTGGCTCTTGCTCTGGCTCCTGCTCTGGCTCCTTCTCTGACTCCTGCTCTGGCTCCTGCTCTGACTCCTGCTCTGGCTCTTGCTCTGACTCCTGCTCTGGCTCCTGCTCTGGCTCCTGCTCTGGCTCCTGCTCTGGCTCTTGCTCTGGCTCCTGCTCTGACTCCTGCTCTGGCTCTTGCTCTGGCTCCTGTTCTGGCTCCTGCTCTGACTTCTGCTCTGGCTCCTGCTCTGGCTCCTGCTCTGACTCCTGCTCTGGCTCCTGCTCTGGCTCCTGCTCTGGCTCTTGCTCTGGCTCCTGCTCTGACTCCTGCTCTGGCTCTTGCTCTGGCTCCTGCTCTGACTTCTGCTCTGGCTCCTGCTCTGGCTCCTGCTCTGACTTCTGCTCTGGCTCCTGCTCTGGCTCCTGCTCTGACTCCTGCTCTGACTCCTGCTCTGACTCCTGCTCTGGCTCTTGCTCTGGCTCTTGCTCTGACTCCTGCTCTGGCTTCTGCTCTGACTCCTGCTCTGGCTCCTGCTCTGACTCCTGCTCTGGCTCCTGCTCTGGCTCCTGCTCTGGCTCCTGCTCTGACTCCTGCTCTGGCTCCTGCTCTGACTCCTGCTCTGGCTCTTGCTCTGGCTCCTGCTCTGGCTCCTGCTCTGACTTCTGCTCTGGCTCCTGCTCTGGCTCCTGCTCTGACTTCTGCTCTGGCTCCTGCTCTGGCTCCTGCTCTGACTCCTGCTCTGACTCCTGCTCTGACTCCTGCTCTGGCTCTTGCTCTGGCTCTTGCTCTGGCTCCTGCTCTGGCTTCTGCTCTGACTCCTGCTCTGGCTCCTGCTCTGACTCCTGCTCTGGCTCCTGCTCTGGCTCTTGCTCTGGCTCCTGCTCTGGCTCCTGCTCTGACTCCTGCTCTGGCTCCTGCTCTGACTCCTGCTCTGGCTCCTGCTCTGGCTCCTGCTCTGGCTCTTGCTCTGGCTCCTGCTCTGGCTCCTGCTCTGACTCCTGCTCTGACTCCTGCTCTGACTCCTGCTCTGGCTCTTGCTCTGACTCCTGCTCTGGCTCCTGCTCTGGCTCCTGCTCTGGCTCTTGCTCTGGCTCCTGCTCTGACTCCTGCTCTGGCTCTTGCTCTGGCTCCTGCTCTGGCTCCTGCTCTGACACCTGTTCTGGCTCCTGCTCTGGCTCCTGCTCTGACTCCTGCTCTGGCTCCTGCTCTGGCTCTTGCTCTGGCTCCTGCTCTGACTCCTGCTCTGGCTCTTGCTCTGGCTCCTGCTCTGACTCCTGCTCTGGCTCCTGCTCTGGCTCCTGCTCTGGCTCTTGCTCTGGCTCCTGCTCTGGCTCCTGTTCTGGCTCTTGCTCTGGCTCCTGCTCTGGCTCCTGCTCTGACTTCTGCTCTGACTCCTGCTCTGGCTCCTGCTCTGACTCCTGCTCTGGCTCCTGCTCTGGCTCCTGCTCTGGCTCTTGCTCTGGGTCCTGCTCTGGCTCCTGCTCTGACTTCTGCTCTGACTCCTGCTCTGGCTCCTGCTCTGGCTCCTGCTCTGGCTCTTGCTCTGGCTCCTGCTCTGACTCCTGCTCTGGCTCTTGCTCTGGCTCCTGCTCTGACTCCTGCTCTCGCTCCTGCTCTGGCTCCTGCTCTGGCTCCTGCTCTGGCTCTTGCTCTGGCTCCTGCTCTGGCTCCTGCTCTGGCTCTTGCTCTGGCTCTGCCTCCATCATGTGGCAAATAATGAGAACCCAAAAAATGTGATTATTTAATAAAAGTAAAACCAAATTCCAGAGTAAAAATACAAACAGGAGGTGAAGATATTGTTTCTCAGTTCGTTTCTCTAAGCTTCCGTTCACACATGTCAGTTTTATGCCTCGTCTGCTCCAGTGAACCATAAACAACAGAGTAAAAGTCATGAATCAAGTCTTTACAAACACAAACAAAAGCTCGCTGATGGATTATAAATCTTCTGTTGTCAAAACATTCCGTTGAACGTTCCTAAAGGCTCCATACTTCCTCTTACATAATTAATCTGATCATTTATTTCATGGATTACTTTCTGACATTTACCAGATGCTTTTCTTATTCTCACGCCTCGACTGGAAAACAACACAAGAATAGCTCCAAAGACGGTCATTTGTGTTGAAACAGGCTCTGATTCAGACAGAAAATATGTGGCGCCCCCTGCAGGTGAAAGCCAGATCCTGTTAGAGCTCTGAAGCTAAGCAGGGCAGAGCCTGGTTAGTGCTGTGAAGGGAGACCTCTGGCGGCTCTGACAGTGGGGCGGCTGCGGCTGTAGAGTGCCAAACTGTGATTGTGTCCTTTGGCAAGACACTTCACCCACATTAGAATGAGTCTGGTGTGTGTGGGAATGGTTGGTGGTGATGGGAGGGACAGACTGGTTGCCTCGCTTCTGTCAGTGTGCCCCAGGGCAGCTGTGGCTACAGTAGTTTATCTGAGTTTATAGTGAATGAATAATGACAAAAATCATGATATAAAACGGCAGCATTATTGAAATGTCAAATATGGTAAAAACCTTATTGTCACTTTGTCATAAGGTGCTGGTACTGGTGCATGTATTCCAAAGGGGTTTTAGTGCAGATGGAAAACAAACGACTTGAACCTAGGTTTGACAAGCTCCTTTTTTGCATGTTCTCCCTGTGCAGGCGTGGTGTCTCTGCTTCTTTCTGGCATCCTTTCCCCTGACATGTAAGTCTGCCTCTCCGTGACTTTAACCTGGTTGTATAAAGGCCAACACTCGCCGCTGCGCTCTGATTGGACGATAATTAAACACATACGATTCCTCCGACTACAAAGCGCCGTAGCCTGCTGTGTTTTTATGAATGAGGGACATAACTCTCACTGTTTCATTAACTATTGTCCTCAGGGGATTTCTCGCTGCTCGAGCCGTTTCCAGGCAACTGCTCGTCCGCTGGCTCGCCACGTCACTCACGGGAGCGGGTGAGGGCGGGTGAGGGCGGGTGAGAGGGGTGAGGGCGGGTGAGAGGGGTGAGGACCTTGTTTGCTCACGCTGCCATTTGTTGAACTCAGTAATAAATGAAAGAAAGCCCTGAGCATGTCTCCCGTCTCTGCAGAACCTCTCCAAGCAAGACTCACTCCCAGATCTTTAATTTAGTCTCCCCTGTGTCCGCTGCCTCCAAAGATCCACTTTATATTAATAAGAAGGAGCAATCATTCGCTTGTACACGCGCACGCAAACACATGCACGCGCACATACACACACACGCACACACACACACGCACACACACGCAGACACACACACACACACGCACGCAGACACACACACACACACACACAGACACACACACACACACACGTACGCACACACACAAACACACACACACACACTCACAGCTCTTTACATCTGCAGCCGTTGTCGTACCTAGTGTTCTTAAAGGTCTCCCATCACAGTCTTACCAGGCCCTGCTCTGCTTTGCTTCTAAGATATGATGGGATGAGGGGCGCCTTAATCACCATGTTTGTTACTTAAGTGTTTTCAACGCAGCATAACCCTAACCCACAATAATTTTTGACGGTAACAAATTTCAAACCATAAAATATTAACCCTGTACAAAATGGCTCTCTCTAAACCATTAGCATTTATTTTTACACATACAGTATGTTGACCTATGAGACCGGGCTCATTCAGAAGTAAACAACAATAGAGTAGAGTAGAATAGTGTAGAGTTTAGTAAAGTAGAGTAGAGTACAGTTTAGTAGAGTAGAGTAGAGTAGAGTAGATTAGTGTAGAGTTTAGTAAAGTAGAGTAGAGTTTAGTAGAGTAGAGTAGAGTAGAGTAGATTAGTGTAGAGTTTAGTAAAGTAGAGTAGAGTACAGTTTAGTAGAGTAGAGTAGAGTAGAGTAGATTAGTGTAGAGTTTAGTAAAGTAGAGTAGAATCGGACTGAGTAGAGCAGAGTAGAGTAGAGTAGAGTAGATTAGTGTAGAGTTTAGTAAAGTAGAGTAGAGTACAATTTACAATACAATGCAATTTATTCTTGTATAGTCCTAGGTCACAACAGAAGTCATCTCAGAGACTTAACAAAACCATTGAAATCACCAACACAGGTCAGAGAATCAACAGTTAAAACACATGGAGAATATAAAGCACACACAGATGAAAATGTCCATACATGTTGTAGAATGCTAAAGTGTCCTGATCATCACCAATCCTTTCTGTTGGACACTAACTGTCCAACAAGACCCTCCTGCATCGACAAGGAAAAACTCTTAAAAAACCCAGTGGGAAAAAGTGAGAAACCTTGGGGAGAACTAGGGAAACCCACAGGGAGGGAGACCCATATGAGAAAGGGATCCGCTCCTCCGGACGGACAGGCTAATGATCTAGGACCTAAGCTAGCTACAGAACGTGGACCAGTGGACGCTGAACGTGGACAGGTCCGGTGCAGGACTGAAGCACTCCCAGGCGGGTCGGGCGGGGCAGTCCGCAGGTGTAGATGGAAGAGGCCAGGCTCAGAGATCCCGTCATCGTACCATGAAACAGACAATGGGACAACGGGTGAATAGCAATGAACAAACTACAGTCAGAATCCTAAAAATGCTAAACAGATAAAGTAGGAAGGAGGAGAGGATAGTGCTCAAGTTACCATACTTCTCCCAGCAAACTGACTCCCTATGCAGCTTGACTGACACTCTGAGGAGTTTAACCTTCTCCGAGTCTTACCTTCCTAGCCATATGCTAAACTAAAGAGGACTGTTTTAAACCTAGCCTTGAATAAAGAATAAAATACAGCATAATATATAACATAATATACAACATAACACAATACATTATTGAATAATATATAACATAATATATAACATAATACAGCATATATATATATATAATATATACACTACATATTATATATTACCTAATTATATGCTAAATTAAAGTAAAGTGCTTTAAGCCTGGCCTTGAATGTGGAGACCGTATCTGCTTCCTTAACATAAATGAAGCTGATTCCACAGTAAAGGAGCTTGGTAGCTAAATGCTCTGCCACCAACAGTGACCTTTGAGACCTTAGGGACCACCAGACGTCTGGCGTTTTGTGAGCGCAACGCTCGACCTGGTTGATACGACACTAACGTGTCTTGGAGATAAGAAGGAGCCAAGCCATTTATGGCTTTATATGTTAAGAGAAGGATTTTAAACTTTATTCTGTACTCCACAGGGAGCCAGTGGAGTGATTTTAACACCGGAGTTATGTGCTCCCTCCTTTTGGTACCTGTTAAGATCCTAGCTGCTGTATTCTGAACGAGCTGGAAGCTCTTCAAAGAGGCTTTAGGGCACGCTGCCAGTAAAGCGTTACAGTAGTCGAGCCTTGAGGTGACAAACGCGTGAATGAGTTTTTCCGCGTCACTTTTAGGAAGGAAATTCCTAATTTTAGCGATGTTCCGTAAGTGGAAGTACGCCGTTTTAGTTGCTTGCTTATATAAGCCTTGAAGGAGAGTTCTTGGTCAAAAATGACTCCAAGATTCCTCACAGTGTTACTGGGTATTATACTGACATTATCGAGAGTAACCATCTGGTTAGTGAGGGAGTCACGCAGGCGCTTCGGACCGAGTAGGATCACTTCTGTCTTCTCCGGGTTGAGAAGTAGGAAGTTAAGAGTCATCCACATTTTAAGGTCCTTTATGCAGGCACTGAGCTTTTCTAGCTGATCTGTCTGATTAGGCTTCATCGACAGATAAAGCTGTGTGTCATCTGCATAGCAGTGGAAATTAATTCCATGCTTTTTAATAATGTTTCCCAGTGGCAGCATGTAGAGAGTAAAAAGAATCGGTCGAGTACCGAACCCTGCGGCACACCGAATTCCACTCCAGAATAAGGCGACGAGTCCTGATTCACATTGACGAAGTGATATCGATCTGATAAATAGGATTTAAACCAGCCAAGGGCTGTTCCTCTAAGACCTATATCACATTCTAGCCTCTGCAGTAGAATGCTGTGGTCTATTGTGTCAAATGCAGCACTAAGGTCCAGTAGGACCAGCACTGACACTTGTCCATTATCGGCAGCTAGTAGTAAGTCATTTGTGACTTTGACTAGTGCCGTTTCAGTGCTATGATGAGCTCTGAATCCTGATTGAAAGACTTCAAACATATCATTTTCCTGCAGGTGGCAGCGGAGCTGCTCAGCTATAAGTTTTTCCAGGATTTTAGATATAAAAGTGAGGTTCGAGATCGGTCTGTAGTTTGTAAGTATTTCTGGGTCCAGGTTTGTTTTCTTCAGAAGGGGTTTGATTACCGCGGTTTTAAAAGCTTGTGGGACATAGCCACATTGTATGGATGCGTTTATTATATTTACGATAGGCTCAATTATCAAAGGAAGTATGTCTTTGAAGAGCCATGTCGGGACTGCGTCTAACATGCAAGTTGAGGCTTTTGAGGATGTGACCACAGAGATCACCTCTGCTTGGCTCACAGCCATGAATTTATCGAGGCCCACTGAAGAGTCTAAGTGGGAAGTCACGTATGCCGCTTCAACCTGTCCACCACTAACAGCAGGAGTAACCTCCTCCAGCTTGTCACGGATGGATGTAATTTTATTATTAAAGAAGTGGAGAAAGTCGACACTGCTCAGTGAGCTTGGAATTTTAGGCTCGATTGCGCTATGGCAGTTTGTGAGTTTAGCGACGGTGCCAAACAAAAATCTACTGTTGTTTTTATTCGCTTCTATTAAAGTTGAATAGTATTGAGTTCGAGCC